AGAAGATGTGCAAATAGCATTAGAAAGGTTAAAAAGAGCGAGGTAAAAAAATAAGACACGATTTGATAAGCAGCATCAATTGAGGCCTAAAGCAATTAAAGAAGGTTATCGGATTTTGGTCTATGATAGTAGCTTGAAAAATCAACATAGTGCTTTAAGGAAGTTTTCTAAACAATGGTTTGGACTGTATGTGGTAACAACTATTTATGATAATGCAACTTACTCATTGCGGGAGTTAGATGGAATAAGGTTAAAAATACCAATTGCAAAGAAGTGAATTAAAATATATAAAAAAAAAATACACAAAAATAAATATAGAAGATCTTTGTGAAGATATAGATATTCTTCAACAGGAAGAAGAATTTGACATGGATAGCAAAAATGATGAAGAGGATTGGGATGAAGACTTAGAGAACGTATTATGAATCAAACAACAACTGGATTATTTGGTACATACCAGAGCATGCACAAGTTCAAAGGGAGTAGATGTTGTGTTATAACACGACTATATGGTGAAAATATAAATAAAAAAGATATTATTAATATTTAGTCATCTTGGATGTTAGAAACCGTGGCCAATTCCAATGCCAATATTCAACGTTAGTTAATGTCGTCCCACTGACGTCATTGAACCAAGTACCCTCCATACCAATGGGACAACCAAGATCATTTTCCAACCCTATATGGAACAAGCCTAGTAGGTATATACCGGTGGAAACACCCAATATGCATGATGGGAGTGTACGAAGACCACTTCGTCGTTTTTATTGTAGACATGTTGGTCATTATGCCAATGAATGTTCTAATCCCAAGGCTAGTGATGATTATGCGTTAGTGTGTAGGAATTGCAAGCAGTCGAGGCATACTTATCAGCAATGTAATACTCTGTCCAATTTCAATAAATGGGATCAGCAGATCCAAAGCCAAAGAAAAATTAAAGAGATAAATTAAGGTCCTCAATATTCTCCGGTAAATTGGGTGGACTGAGTCCAAGCCGTTCTTACCAAGAATCGACAAAAGAAAAAATGACCAATTTCATATTCGGGTGAATCTGATGTGAAGGGCCAATTTGACCTAATTACGGGGACATCCAATCTAGGTCCTGATATGGGTCTCTTACCCAGTATGAGACTTGACTTGGTTGGGCAACCCAATGAGGTTTCGAATATGGAGGCTTCCGTTCCATTTCAAGTTGTTCCATTCTCTATGCCATTTTGAAAAAAATGTCCTTTCTATGGAAAGATCCTCTTAGAAATAGGAATTTTGGGGAAGCGCCGTCAGCTGTTTCAATTCGGAGTCTAGGGCAGGAGAAAAGGGGACCACATAGAGTTAAAAGGGAGGAGAGGATAAGAAAAGGGGCATTCGGAGATTAGGATTTTGGGATCGGAGAGCTAACTTCAAGCTCCTTTGAAAGGTGTAGAATTGGATTTCATAGGGTTTAGAAGGACTTTGGCAATCGTTGTTGAAAGTAAGTATTTGTATTGGTGATTTGGATTTTTTTTTTGCAATAAAGTTAAGGCTGGTACTCTTGATTGTTTTGTGAAATTAGAGAAACTTCTATAGTTGAAATTTAGGGGTATCTAGTGGGTTAAGTATGCCGAGCGCATGCAAAAGTTTGTCTTGATTTGACGGAACAGATAGAGGATATTTGACCATTAGTGTAAAGAAGTATCGAAAGCTAGCAAATTGGGATTGTTTAAGGTTTTTGTAATATCTGTAGATCTATCGACTAGAATAAGGTGACTTTTGGCATGGTAAGTCGAGGACTTTTAGGCGGCGGTTAAGATATATCAGTGTGGATTAATGGCATTTTCTTGCAACCTGTAAGTTAGATTGGATTGAAACTTCTTGAGCATTTAGAAGGCTTGTAAAGATACTAATAGTAGAAATTTACAACAATTGGATGGTCAGATTGAAAATTACAGCTTACTGAAGCTCATTGTCTAGAGTTAGGGTTTAAAATAAAATAAAATAAAATAAAATAAAATAAAAACTAACAAATAACAAAAGACTTTGTGCTTATAATATCTTGAAGTTATTAAAAATAGTGTTTCTAAGCACTTTGTATTAGGATTAAGCTTTTACATTGAAATCCAAAATAGTTGTATTTAGATGGTTGAAACCTACTAGCCTACCCAGGTACTTACAAAATATTGTTTTATCTTCCACAACCAGACACGTGATGCATTCTCAAGCAAGATAGCTCGTAATACGACAACGCTACGGCAAATCACGAAAACCACAAAATTCAACTAATTATAATAAACCTTTGAAATTAGTTATTTTTTAGTGCCCCTTTTATCCTGCTTCAAAGGTGCTGAGCTTCGCATGGTCTCTTCTTGTATTTAGGGTTGAGTTTTCCAATCAAAGGTTTTAGACATGTTGAAATCTATGTTGTCATATAAACATTGTGACTTTTAAATTACACATGAATGCATAACTTGAGATTCCTAGGATGTAGTGGCAATCACTCATATGCAAACCTTGATACTATAGACCAATCTTTTGGTGAGATGTGTTGTTAATAAGCATGTAGATACTTCAAGTAAGGATTAAAGAATAAATTAGAAGATGGTGGGATAAGTGAGATCAAAAATTCAATTTAAATAGGTCATAAACCTTGAGAAGGGATTTGTAATCCTAAACACTAAATCCTAAACTTAATTTTTAAACCTCAACTTTTGTATTGTAGCATCTCATTGACTTAATTTATTCATAGAAAGTCATGTCTTAATGTCTTAATTTTTATTGTTATACTCTTTGCTACAAAAAGGTTTAAAAAAATCATAGTAATAGTACTAGTAAGGATTTGCATCAAATCATTTAAATCTTTAATTATTAATTTTTTAATATATTTTAGTATTATAAGAATATTTTATTTAATTTACCACATTGTTTTTATAAATCACAAAATTTTGAATTCTTAATGTAGCTCAATTCATTCTTGTATGGTTTTAAAGCTACAATGTACAGATGATGGGATGTAGTGCTACATATTTGTCTAAACAAATTGTGTTCAATTTGCTTCAAGATTTGTGGACAATCATTTTACTCTCACTTGGTTGATATTTAAGAAGTGTGAGCTTCTATTATCTAGTAAATAAATATAAATCAAGGTTATAACAATTATTTTAAGTTTTTTCAAATATATATATATATATATATATATATATATTATAAAAAAATACTATCAATGACTATAATATATTAAGCAACAATTAATTTAGTAATAAACTAATATTAAAACTTGTGTTCTATTCTATCCATTAAACATAGATCAATGCATTGGATTTCAAAGGATAGTCCAAAAGATGTATCTAAAAATTTAGTTTACTTATTAGAAGATATCGACATCCAACCAAAGTCATTAGTCCAAAAATATCTCAAAGTTTTCTTACATTGCCAGTATGCTACTAATTTTAATTAGTTTTTTAAAAAAATGTAAGATTAAACTGAATTGATTGACTTCTTTTCTTATAATAATGACAATAGAATCATTGATACATTTACATATTATTTTTTGTTATGAATTCCACTAAACATTAATTCATTTTTTTTCTCTTTAATTGTATCTTGAAATCTATTAAAAATAGATAGATCCTTCTTATTTTGATTTTACTTTTAATTGATACAATACTTAGTTTAGACTTGGAGTTTGTAAAGAAAATGTACTAATTTGACTCACGTAGTATAAACAAGTAGCTATAAATGCATGGCAAAGTCAATCTACTTCCAATATAAATACTTATTATTCTTTATATATTCTTTATAAGCAAGAAACTATTCTATGTTAATTTTGGGAATATAAACAAGCTCAAAGAATTTTGGACTATGTTACATCTTTATTATATAAATTTATTTGAAGTCCTAGGAAATGAAAGTATTGGAAAACATTTCTTAGAAACAAGCTATGTTTGCAAGTGTTATACCACTAAGAATCAAAGTCTTGGCACATTAAGGTCATTATTACTACTTGGATTCAAAAGAATAAATTTATTTTTGAGTTGAAGTATGAAAGAACCTCTATATTAAAAAGATGATGTGATTGGGTTTTATTGAATATAGTCAAAAATTTTAGAAGGCAACTTCTACAAAGTTAAAAGCCATCAAAAAAAAAAAAAAAAAAAAAAAAAAAAAATCTTCTTTAAAAGATGCATAGAATTTGGATAATAAGAAATATTATAGAAATAAGATGGAATCTACTAATTAAATATAACTTAAGAGTGCATCAATGCAACTTGATAGTTCATGATAACTTAGATGAATAGTATACATTAATTCTATATACTAGTTTGGTTGACAATGAGATATCATGATATTGTTCAGTACTTAAGTTGATAGATATTCTAATAATAATTATTTTTGAAGAAACCAATCCTACAAACCCATTTTTGTGTGGATTTGCCTTCCATTGATTGTGTGATGTGAATTTCTCCACTTAGTACTTAAGTTGATAGATATTCTAATAATAATCATTTTTGAAGAAATCAATCCTACAAATCCATTTTTGTGTGGGTTTGCCTTCTGTTGCATGTGTGATGTGAATTTCTCCACTTTGCACCATGTCATTCATTCATGTTAACTTTTTAACAAACGAGATAACTAGTTTAAAGCACATCCAATTGTTTAGAAACCATATTCCAAGATCATATTCCATATTCAAACCATATTCTAAATTCAGTAGAGATTTCTCATTGGGTATTGGATGCAAAGTAGTGTAAAGTAGCCCTAATTCCACATTGATCATCAATCTCTATAGCTTCATAGCATAATCACTCCAACACTTAAAATTCGTGCGCGGTGTGAAACCTCTCATAGTGAGGATAATCCGAACCACATGATTGAGCCAGCAGGCCACGTAGGACTGACGTGGTTGCACAGTCAGCAAACAGGTTGCTAATCAATAAGTAACTGCCACGTGGATGCGGTAAGGTTTTGAGGGCGTCGGCGTCATCGGGCTCGTAAAGCACGTTTGCCTTCCGTCGCCTGCGTGATGTGAATTTCTCCGCTCAAATTGTTTTTCAAGGCAGATCTCATGTCGAGCCGGTAATCAAATCGCTCATGGGACTCGCTTGTGATGTCTTGTCTCCTGATCATCTTTTATGCAGAATCAGTGACTTCTTATTATATTTCTGTTTATCTTCTTTGTGATTTTCTGCGTGGGAAGAATTGGTAAGCGTTCTGCGTTGCTTGGTTTGTGGGAGGAGGTCAGGAGTGTAGGAGGGCGATTGTTGCGATTTGGGTGGGATTGCCGCTTACCAGGACTTGGAAGGAGATTGAGAAGAGCATATCCTGAGGGGGGGCTTGATTGTAGAGGTTGCAAAGAGGAGTAAATAGTAGAAATCTCGTGGTTGTTTACATGCTCATGAACGGAAGTGTTAAACACTGTCAATTTAATCAACCCAACTCTTTTAATACTGCTATTTCGAACGTTGATTTGATTCTTCACAGTCGTCTGACAGACGAGGTGTATGTGGTTGAGGAGGGTTGAATGATCAAGTCTTTAGGTTGTGTGGAACGAAAAGAAATCGAGTTTATGTTATTGAATTTTGCGATTCTAGGAAATACGGATTACCAAGTTTTGATATTCCCCTGTAGTTGAGAGGTTCGACATATGGATTTGAATTTAACCCAGATTTTGTACCTTCTGCACAGCATACTTTCCGACGCCGCCCAAGCGAACCTCGAGAGCCCAGAATTTGTTATTGAAGAGAGTTCAGGGGATGCGAGGTTCGCTACTGGTCAGTGAAGTGATATTTAGAGGTCCTTTGTGAGAGGAGGCACGAATACACCATGGCAGTAATTAGATCTGCGACCCGAAAATTGCTGAGCAGTCGATGCTGGCTCTCGACCACCCTCAACGTGCTTCATGTCCGCCTTGTATGTGTTCCTAACCAAAGTCATTTCATGTTATTCAAGGGTTTCATTCATTGAAATTAGAGAGCAAGTCAATGACAGGTCAAGTGAGCTGCCTTACGAATAAGAATCCAGATTTCTATGTTCTATTGAAACATTCACAGCCTCGTTCCTGCTTCTTTTAAATACGTGGATTACATTGTTTACCGTGATGTTATCAACATGAGATGGGCTAAGCATTTGATAGCGCCATCTTTTACATTACCCTCAGGTTATCTTGTAGGGTAATGTGAAGGGTTATAGTCACAACTTTAAGCCTTAGCAGAGGTGAGTGACAATACCATGGTTAGTTCTGGTTTTGCTGACAACCATTTTCCTAGGGTTTTCTCTTTTTTCAATGGTCTATATTGTACTTGAAGAATGACCGTTTGGTTTGCTTTTGCGTTTGTCATCTAAAGGCCAGCACTTTAGTAGTGGCGGAGCATGATGGTGGCAAATTGAAAGACTCGTCTCTGAGCGCAATTGCAGCGGCAGGAAGATTGGGAGAGAGCAGCACAGTATCAGTCCTTCTCGGTGGCACTGGATCTACTCTTCAGCAAGCTGCTTCTCAAGCATCAAAGGCCCACCCATCCATCACCAAGGTACACAATCATTGAATAACTTGTTCAAGTTCCTTACATGATTCCATTTTCATTGCTACAAGCTGCGATGGCAACCTCTATTGCTTCCAAGCTCCAATCTAAGTACACATACAACTCCGGTACTGGAACTGAGAGAATCACTTGAAAGGTCATTTGCTTGAGCCTCCTGATGTAACCTGCTTCTCTTTGTCTCATGTGCTTTCTTCATATCCTCCTTAGACAGTGTTCAGGCAGACTTCGCACTAAAGTTAAGAGTTATGATTCGAAGTGACGGCTGCTAATGTTGAGAGTTTTTTTTATCATCACCTTGACCCCACGCAGGTTGTTGTGGCCGATATGAAAAAACTGGACCATGACTTGGCAGAACCATGGGCAGAAGTTATTGTGGCAGCTGTTCGCAGTGACGAGTATTCACATGTTGTCACGGCATCAACGTCTTTTGGGAAGAATGTTTTGCCACGGGCAGCTGCCTTATTGGACGTTTCTCCGCTCTCTGACGTGACGAGAATTATTGATGAGCAGACCTTTGTGAGGTGTATTTCTCATGAACCCGAACGGTGTGAGATGATGAGTCTGGAAGCCTTTTCGTTTTAAAGTGTTCCTCAACCTAATAATAATTGCTTGTTGTAGGAATTACAGGTGTTTTGAATGAGGATGCTTTCTAAATAGTTGAATATAACCTTTATATCCAATGTAGACCTATATATGCAGGAAATGCAATGTCTACTGTACGATATGTAGGGTCTGGACCCTGCATTTTTTCGATTCGACCAACGTCGTTTGCTGTGTCAAGTGCATTGCCACGTGAAGCAGAAGCCCCCATATCAGCTTTAGACACATCAGGTTTAAATGCAGGTGAGACTGGTGACTTCGTTTTATATTTTCTCGGATGTTGCGTGATGTGTAACCAACAATGAACTATGAGTTGAGGTATAAGGCCTGCTGCTGTCTCCCTCGTAGAGTAGCTGTCATGGTGTAGTGTTGATGAGTCAACAAGGGTGGACAATGTTTGCAATCTAGATCAGAGTAAGAGATTTGAGTTTCTATGTTTTCAAAAGCGTTTGCATTGCGTATCTTTCCAAGTTTGCCCAATTCAGTTGCAATCTAATCGTGTAGCTGGTGACTAGTTTGGTCGTCGCCCTCCAAAGAAGTATTGTATCGTTCGGAGATGTGTAAGTAGTCTTAGATAGATGCGGGTTGAGTTTGTCAATGTGTTTCAGAGATTATTGAGCGATCGGAGTGGCTTGGACAGCAAGTTCAGGAATCTGAACGACCTGAACTGGGAAGTGCTAGAGTTGTTGTCTCTGGAGGGAGAGGCCTGAAAAGCAAGGAGAACTTTGAAATGCTGGAGAAGCTCGCAGATAAACTTGGTGGTGCTGGTGAGTCGTACCCTTTTGATCTTACGTTGAGTATCATTACATGCCAACAGCTAGAACATCCGATCATCTGCTAACGTGAGAATAAGTCTAGGTCACAGAACTTGTATATATTGAAGTTTTAGAAATGATTCACCCGCCATTCTGAAAAGCAAATATCTTTAAGCTTTTAATGCATTGAATTCATGCTCACTCTAGTTGATGGATCCTTTTACCATGTAATTATACAAAAGACGGTTGTAACAAAACATCAGAAAATCGCAGCATTTTTTACCAAAATATGTTCTTGGATTGTCTCCATGTGCATCAGTTGGGGCTTCAAGAGCAGCAGTGGATGGAGGATACGTGCCTAATGACATGCAGGTGATCGCTTCATACCTCTGTGAACTCCAAAGTTGGATTCTACACAACCAACATATCTGTTCCAGAATCGATTCCAGAATTCACAATCGATTGTACAAATTTTTGTTGGATTTCGTGTTCAAAGCATGATTAGAAACCGGTATGAGCCGATTCCCTTGCAATTGTGCATGCTGCCCAGAATTTTTCACTGCAATCATCGCTTTTTGACTTTAAAATGCAGGTTGGTCAAACTGGAAAAATAGTCGCACCAGAGTTGTATATTGCGATAGGAATATCTGGGGCAATCCAACATTTAGCAGGCATGAAGGACTCCAAAGTCATCGTCGCTATAAACAAGGATCCGGATTCCGCCATCTTTCAGGTACTAGCCTCTGAAGATGTGCAGCTTGAGTCAGATTATTTCGACCACTTATATAACCATCAAGGTGCTGTATACAAATGGACATGTTCTCTGTTGTCGTGCCCATGAATGTCGTATAATAATCGTTGTTAAGTTACCGATGAACCGAGTGAAACCATCGGTTCAAACTCAAAGATCAGGAGGAAATATAACCAAATTCAGTTCTAGTAAAACGAGGTAGTAACTGAGATGAAACAGGAAGTTACCGGTTAGTTTTAAAATTGAGGGGAATCTAGCAAGTGGTTGTCAAAGTTTTTCACGGACACTCTTCTTCTGCATGTAACATCGATTTAGTTATTTTTTGTTCATGAAGTCAATCAGAATAACCTGCTTTCTGACGCCTTACGTGTTGCACCAGGTGGCCGATTATGGACTGGCAGCTGATCTGTTCGATGCCGTTCCTGAGCTCGTTGAAAAACTTCCCGAGAAACAGAAATTCGCATAGTGATGGAATCTCGTCTGTAGAGCAGAACTGGCATTTTGCGTCCTCACAAACAAATGTATAATTGACGCTGTATGTACTGTACAAAATATGACGCCATTTTCTGTCTCAACGCTCACAATCACTTGATGATACAGGGTCACTTTGATCGCGGCATACATGCGTAATTGTAGGTCGTGTATACAAGTTTGAGGACCCGGAACGGTGTCCAATAAGCACCACTAGCAATGCTTTTAAATAAGAATAATCCAACGAAGGTTTCTCGGTTATCGGAATCTGTACTTGCATATCGCGCCACCTACTCGAGTATGTTCTACTTTTTCGATCGTTACTTTTCAAGCAGGTTACATTATTTTCCCAATTACATATATTTTGATCTTGAAGTGATGCATCTATAAATTACATGCAAGTTGATGAACCAAGTACAAGAATGTTGAGGTTTCCGGTGGCATTAATCCTGACAATTGTATGACCTGCAAGAGATATTTACAATAATAGTGCCGGAACCGTATTAGATAGTTTATGAACACGAAGCTGTCAGGGCATCACGCGTCGCCCGGCTTCCACGAGCGAAGAACGAGTTGCCGTGACAAATAGTTGGAAATAAAAGCGCCGAGCACCCCACGGACTGTCGACGCAAATTTTATTGTGCATACCCCTAGCGCGTGATAGATCACTACATTATATCGAGCAGTCAGCTTCGCAATTCACAGAGCTTAACTTCAGTGTTCGGTTGTAGTGGTTGGGTTGACACATCAATCAGATATTCTATCGCTTTATGTGTGTAGTGACCGATTTAGTGCGATGGTTCACAGGTTTCAAGAGTTGGAGAACTACGATGATTATGATCCAGTTCCTTACCAAGGAGGCTATGACCAGCAAGAGGCCTACGGATCCATAAGGAGAGCTGATGAGGAATGTGGCTACCGCCGGACCGATTACGGTGAGGATGACGAGGAGCAAGAGGTGGAATATGGCAACGAGAGCAACCCATACGGGCGTGGACCGCCGGGGCCATCGATCTACGGCGGCCATCCCAGACCTGGAGAAGTGTATGGTGGTGGCCGTGATCGAACTGGCCGACGCAACGATGAGGCTCAGCCGGATGAGGGTGTGGAAACTGGCTACGGACGCCGCCATCCTTCATACGGGAAGGAGTCTGGGTACCTCAAGCCAAGACCTGCCTACGGCGAAGAGGAAGAGTCTTACGAGGAAGAGGGGCATGGAAACCGGAATCCTAGACGTGATTATGATGATGAGGTGCCGGAGGAGCTGCGGTATCAACAGTCGAGGCGCGTCCATAGCGATGAGCGCCATGAGCAGTATCACTCAAGCTATTCGCGAACCTCGTATGGTGGAGTTCCTCAGGAGGAAGGATATGGAAGTGGGTACGGTCGCACGAAAGACGACGAGGAGACAGAGGAATCTGGTTACGGAGGTGGGTATGGTCGTAAGAAGAAGAATGAGAGCGAGGACGAGGGGTCTGACGGTTCTAGAGGCAGGCGTGAGAAGAAGGACAGCGAGGACGAGGGATCTGATGGTTACTCAGGTCGCCGCAAGAAGAAGAACGATGACGAGGAGGATGAAGATGAAAACAGAGGCTATGGCGGTTACGGCTCTCGTCGCAATGACGACGAGGAGGAAGAAGAGGCACCTAAGAAATCCTGGTGGTGATCCAGACTCATCGTTGCATCTTGTTAGACGCATGGAGCACTTGTGTTTAAGTAGAATGATTCCGAGGCATTTCTGTGTGCCGTTTCGCCATGGAGTGACAGTTCCATGGCTTTGGATCTAACTGTGTGATAAGTAGAAACTCGAATGAGGTTTTTTTAATGGAGTGCATTCTGGACAAGCTGCATGTTCGGCCTGTCCGTCTGGCTTGGTGGACTTTACTCGTCTTGTTCACTGCCTCAAGTTGTGAATGAAGGCTTCGCTTGCTCTCATATTTATGTGGCCTCGTTTCTTTTTACACATTTGTGTATTCACGGGAGTGCTCAACTTGATTTCTCTAATGTGCACGTCTCCCAACTCATCAAAACAGCTGAGCGAATCCATACATGATCTGCACAGAAAATTGATTTAACAGTTTCTTGCCCACGTGAATACCATCTGCAATGCTTCTGAAAACCTTTGTTACGTTTCGACTGGTTGTATCGTGGTGCAACCATTCCAAAACCATCATCCATCTTTCAAAATCTCACGAGAATATCAAAAGCTTGCTACAGACGAGCTGATCTGACTGTTCACTGTAAAAGTAATGCACCCACCCGATTATGTTAACTCAGAAGCTGTCAACGACCATACTGTCGGTAAATACTGTTGGTAAAGCTGAACGTGTTTACACGGAACAACTGATGTCGCGCAAACAAAGTGAACTAGCCACAGCCACCGCGTCGATCACGTACTCATTTGGATTAGACGTCATCATTCTCAGCTTTACGGCAATTAATCAGAAACTCACGTGCTTTGAAAGCACCCTGGTACTCCCAAGGCTTTTGACGTTTTCTGGCAGTCACATGGGTTAGAGATAAGAAACTAGCTATTCTCTGTCCTTCAACTAGGATAGAACACCCTACACCAGTGCCTCAATAGCATGGCTAGGTCACCAGGCTGTACCAGGTTGTAGTAATGAAATTTTCCATCAATCGAAGGTCCTGGCGTTCGGCGGAAAGATGGTGCTCCGCGATTCACGGTAGTTAAGTATTGCACAGGGGAAGCAATGGCGAAAACTTGTGGCGATGGCGATGTCTACAGGACGTGATTGTATAGCTTCTAATGCTCAATCTGCTTCTCAACTACACAGATCTACACCTTGTGCTAGTAATTTTTTGAAGGTAGTCCTCATTTATTGTTAGGTTAGATACCAAGCAAACATTTTTTTTTTTAGAAAAGAAATTAATTAGGATTTGTTAGGATTTCCCATCTAATGGCTCTTTCTTAAGCAAATGTTGTGAAATCATACACTTCTTCTAAACCCATGGCCTACAAGAGAGACTTTGCAAAGTCCATTTGGCAATAGCACAAAGGATTAATCATGAACCAAACCAAACCAACAAAGAGAAAAAACTTGTCCAAAAGCTTAACATGGAACTATGCTAGCTTCTTCATCAAGAAGGTTAAGAAATGGATACACACCTTGGAGGATGTGGTAGCTACAAAGGAATGATTTCAAGAGGATTATATGGTGGTTGCTAATTTTATAGGTCGCAAACTCACTCCCCTAATGTTTTTGACGTGGTTGACAGTTATATGGTGGTTGCTAATTTTATAGGTCGCAAACTCACTTCCTCAATGTTTTTGATGTGATTGACAAAACTAAATATAAGACATTGTAGTAACAATGCAGTGTCTAGCAATGACATCAATTGTGGATTCTTCTACCTAAAGGCATCAAGCAAGGAGGTAGCCAAAAAAATATTGGACCTTATTGTCACGGACATACTCATGTAAGCCAGTAATTACATATATAAATAGGTAGAAGTAAATAAAAGTAGGTAAAAGTAAGTTAATTCTATAGTATTTGATATGAAAGCTTCCTAGAAGCTTCATAGACGTTGCTTTGACTTCATAGGTATCTTTAATTGACTTTTTGGATTAGAAATGTGGTCAACAAGTTGGCCATGTGCCACACATGTTGTTAGCTTGAAGACCAAGCTAACTATGTAGTCGACACATAAAAAAACTTGCCTTGTAAGTCAAGGCATGTGTCCTATAAAGTCAACACATATTGGAGGTCCCATAAAACGTTGCCACGTAATCCCTAGTTAGATAGTATATATAGAGACAAGAGTGAAGCCTTCTTCACTCTTATCAACTCCTTTTTTGCTTCCAATCTAGTTTCAAGGATCTCAAATTTTCTTGTCTTTTGGCAATAGCCATTCCAATTTCTCTTTCAATATACATACTTGTTTATTTATATTTTCTTACCTTACTTTGAGTGAAGCCTTACTAGTCTGAATTACTTTTTCATCGAGTTCTTATCCTTGACAAATTGACAAGAGTACACCTACAATATCAGAGCTTTGAAAGTGAAGATATAGAAATGGTTGGAGGAATGGACATATTGATTAAGAGTGAAGAATCAAGCAGGAAGTGAAGATATAGAAATGGTTGGAGCTGCTTCAACATCTACACCAAACCATGTCCTTTCTCCTATGGTAGAACGTCCTTTCAATGTTAGAGAACCAAGAATTATCCTATCCGAGAAGTTTGATGGCAAAAGATCCAAGTTTCGAGGATTTATCAATCAAGTGTAACTTGTGATTGAACTTCAACCCCAAAGCTATCCAATTCTAGGTTCGCAAGTTAGATTCATTGGTACGCTTCTTTTAGGTTCAGCACTATCATGGTTTTCATCTTTTCTTGAACAACCAGATCCAATATTAGATAATTTAGAGGCTTTTTTGGTAGAGTTTCGAGCCATGTATGGAGAACATGATGTAATTCGTATTACAACCAATAAGATCCGTATTTTACGACAAGGTAATCAATCAGTAACGTTGTATGCTTCATAATTTCGACAACTTACAACTGATATCAAGTGAGATGATATTGCACCTATTAGCTAATTTCTCTACGGATTACAATATGAGGTAAAAAAATTAATGTTCAACTTACCTAATCCTCAAACATTGAGTCAAACAATTGACTTTGCTGTGAAGTGCAAAAAGGTATATTGTGGAGAACCAAAATACACTGCTCAACATTGTCCAAAGAAACGATGCAACCAAAAAATGAGGAATATGGCTATGAAAGAAAATATGTCAAAAAACGAGTTTGTCGAGCTACAATAGGGACCGTGCGGCTGGAACCTTGTACAACATCTAGTAAAGGTCCTATTCTCTCCTCAGAGTCCTCTCCTTGTTTTACATTAAATGTTATTTTAGGACCTAAACATTACAAAGCCTCTACCTTGTTAGATTCACAAGCTTCAACGTGTTTCTTAGATAAAGAATTTATTAAAAGACATAGCATATCTTTAGTAAAGAAAACTAAATATATTCATGTAGAAGTCATAGATGGTCGTCCATTGTCTTCTAGAGATATTACTCACAAAATCCTTCCTATAGAATTAATAATCAATAGTCATAATAGCTTTGTAGTATTTAACATCATTAGATCTTCCTCTATTCCAGTTATTTTAGGTTTATCGTGGTTAGAAAAATACAATCCTCAAATAGATTGGATTTTCCGAACTCTTATTTTTTCTAAAAGTATAACTAACAGTGTAATTAATCAAGTAGAGAGTCATAAGTCCACTTCAATTAAACCCGTGTTTATAAGTGCAAAAGCTTTCTTGCATGCTGCTATGAAAGAATCACCATATATTACTTATGTCACACTTGTTTCTATTAGAGGAAAGACTTCAAGTAGCATTCCGAGCCAATATCAAGAATTTCAAGATGTATTTGAAAAAAAAAATGCGGATACACTCCCGGAACATCGTCCCTATGATTGCTCAATTGACCTTCAAGAAGGAGCACAACCACCATTCGGACCAATCTACAATTTATCACAAAATGAATTGACTGAATTCAAGAAGTATATTGAAGAAAATCTAGCTAAGAATTTCATATGCTATTCTAAATCTCCGACAGAATTCAATAGCTCCAATTCTATTTGTGAAGAAAAAAGATGGATCATTGCGGATGTGTGTTGATTATCGAGGACTCAACAAGATTACCATTAAGAATAAGTATCTACTACCTTTAATATCTGGACTTCTTGATTAGCTGAATCAAGCTAAGATCTATACAAAAATAGATCTCCGGAGAGCATTCAATCTAGTACGCATCAAAAAAGGAGATGAATGGAAGACTACGTTTTGAACTAGGTATGGACATTTTGAATCCAACATCATGCCTTTTGGACTTACAAATGCACCAACAGCTTTTCAATATCTAATAAATGATGTTATTCAAGATTTTTTGGACGATTTTGTGGTATGTTATCTAGACGACAATTTGATCTATTCTAAGAATCCAGATGAACATGAACTTCATGTTCGTCATGTGTTACAAAAATTAAGAGATGCAAGACTTTATGCCAAGATAGAAAAGTGTATATTCCACAATATTCAAGTCGATTTCTTAGGTTACATCATTTCAAATGATGGACTTATGAGGATCCTAAGAAAGTTCAAACTATTATAAATTGGAAGATCCCAAAAATGGTAAGAGATGTCCAATGCTTTTTGGGATTTGCAAACTACTATCGGATCTTCATCAAAGACTTTTCTTGAGTTGCAGCTCCACTTACACATTTGACTTGTAAAGACAAACTTTAATGGAATCAAGAAGCGAAAGTTGCTTTTGAATCTTTGAAAATAGCGTTTGTTTCTGCACCAATCTTGTATTGTGTTGATTTTTCCAAAGCGTTCTTTATGGAAATAAATGCATCAGAATTTGCTCTGGGTGTGGTTTTGTCACAAATGGGAACAGATGATAAACTTCATCCAGTAGCCTTTCATTCAAGAAAATTCTCAACAGCAGAAATCAATTATGAGATCCATGACAAAGATCTTCTTGCAATTGTGGATTCTTTTCAAGAATGGCATCATTATCTAGAAGGCGCTTCCAATCCAGTCACCATGTATACGGATTAGAAGAACCACGAATATTTCATGTCAATACATATATTAAATCATTGTCAAGCTCGTTGGAGCATGTTTATATGAAGATTCGAGTTTATCATCACTTATCGATCAAGAAAATAATAAGGTTTGTCCGATGCCTTGTTTAGACATTCTTATCTTGCACCAAAAGAAGGAGATATAACTTTTGAGCAACAAAGGATGGTTCTCTTGAAGCCGGAGCAATTTCATCTTCAAGCAATAAAATCAACATTGACTGTTGATTTAACTTTTTTCAAGAAAGTCCAGTTAAGTATGTCTTCAGACCCTCTTGTTCATGATATCAAGAATAATTCTTCTAAATCTCATGATCC